TTCGTCTAATCCTGGAAGCGATCGATAGTCAGCAGATGTATGCGGCCTCGGTTCTGGCTGTTGGGCTGAATGCAACTCCATGTCCATCTGAAGCTGCTGGGAAGACCAAATGTCGTTCCCCAGTCTCATGGTCGCTGTTGATTGGCGCGGCTGACTCATGAGTGCTTTCTTGCAGTACGGGTGTTGTGATGGCTGGTGCGGGAGGTGTAACAAGGGGGAGCACCGAGGACGCCGCTAAAGAGAAGATTGGGGCAGTGCAATACTTTGTTTATTTGACTGCTTAATGTCTGTTCTTGCACGTGTTAGCTGGCCTTTGGGCCGCGCTCAGGCATAGCTGCTTTGCCCTCCTTGGAATAAATGTATTTATCTTCAATTAGTTCTCCCTTCCTCCCTGTGGAAGTCTAGGGTTGCTACACACAAGCAGTCGAATGGACAGGATATTGCATTTCCAAAGCAATCTGAAAAAGTTAAATGAATATGCTTCACTAAACATACTGAGTGTCCTTTTACCGACGAGGTGTGCCTTCCTTGCTTCCGCCGCTACTTTCAGACTTTGTAATGCCAGACTTACGTGACCGCTTATATTTCTGGAGGTAACTTCGGTATTTTTTTGCCCTTGTCCACATTAGCTAGCCTTCAAACCAAGCCAAAGCTCTTGTCTTTCTTCTACTCCTTAAATTCATGCATTTGACTCAACTTACTTCCCTCTCCAACCTGGTAGGAAGTAAAGAAATTGCAAATATCCGTAGATCTTTGAACAGCAGCGTCATGGAACCCAGGCACCTTAACAACTTTTTCGATAATCAGGGGAGAGAGGGGTATTTTAAAATGAATTTTAGGCCGCTTATCACAAAATATCACCAAACTAGTTAAGTTTCAGGTCCCGACTTGAGCGGCTTTATTTTTTAGTAACTGGGACAAAAATGACAGGAACCACTATAGTTGCTCACCATCATAATTGAACTGATTTTCACTAATCACTGTTCCATAGCTATAATGAGCTTATTAACTGGTTAATTTGACTAAATTCGAATTCATTGCAAAGACTTTAACTTTTTATTTGGGTGAGCGCACTTCTTGAAGGTGTCGGTCACGTAGTTTGCTACCTAACTTAGGTGCTTCGGCTTAAAGGACTTGCTTTCTCATATATGCTCTCTTTTGCGTGGGTACCTTCCTTTATGAGTTCCTCTGTTAGTGCAATAACTTATAATGCCACTGTTTCCATAGCTTGCAACTGTTTTTCTTCTATGCACGATGTTTATGTGGGCTATACTTGCATCCATTTTTTGCTTTTTATTATTGTACTTCATGTTTGTGTATGCCATAGATGTCTCCATTTGGTTTTGCAACGGTGTTGCGAAGAAGTATCCTGTGTCTGGCAACGGCTCCTCCGAGGGAGACTCGCATTGATCCGTCTAACATACAGCTGCCTTACACCACTACCAATAGGTGGCACGCAGCCATGAACTTTTTACCCAAACCCAGCAATTTTCCACGCTACCACTACCCAATCATTCTCACTAGCATTTTCATTTTCACCATGTACTTTGCTTTCATCAGGGAGAAAAATGAATACGATCTACAGTTTGAGCGGCCGCCTCCCTCACTTGCACCCACATTGACCCAGACCACTCAAGAAAACTAGTGGGTTTGGGCACATCATTTTAACTTTATTTTTTATAACAGTTTACGAGACATTACGTAACGTTTTTTATAAATTTTGATTTGACGCATTATTGCAATTAAAGGGATTTTCTTTCCGCAATATTGGGTCGAAATTGAGGCATAATGCACGTATTGTATGGAAGATGAAGTAGCATCCTTTGCGTCTGTCATCAGATGTCGGGGCACTTCGTTTAGGATTGCTTTCCGAGGCCTTCCACTTCTATTCATTGCTACTATGGGGATTCCAGATGCAGCTAGTACTTCAATTAGACAGATCCTTGGTATTGTGCTGACCATATCCACCATTATCAGTACTTTATAATCGGCGGTTACTCAGGAGTAGGGAGGGTCTAAGAACTACTCGGAGTGACTACACGTGTTTTGATGTAGATTTCGTTCATGGCTGCATTATCTTCGCTGATTAGTGCTCACATTTCTTCAATGCCACGTACCATTTTCGCTAATACGATCGTACGGATGGGGATTTGTTTACTCAATTTGTTTCCAGGCCACTGTGATTTTTCTTGCATCGGTTATGCTTTACATCCTAATGCGTGATGTGTGATGATTCTGTTTTGTCATTAAAGACTTGAACATTGATGAGAAATCATTTTTACACATCGATTATGGCAATCATTTGGTGCTCATAGGCGAAGTAGTTACATAAATGCAGGTAAGCGGTGTCGTTCCCGTTACCTTTTCTCAAAGTTTACACAGACAAAAGTTGGTTTCCTTTAATACTTGTCAAAGCTGAAAACATAAGCTAGAAATCATCCTAGTTGTCCACCAAAGAAAAGGATGAGAATGTATGTGCGCGCAATACCTCCTTTTCTATACCTTGTTATCACTATTATTCCACACAGTTACGACTGAAGATATGAGTCCTCTTCGTCTCACTACATATCCCAGTGCCAGGCGTGCATTGTGCTTTGAGATGGGTTTGGTCAGTCCACATTCCAGCAGTTTTATTACTTGCCTAGTGTGGAGGAGGTTCCAGTTAATGGCAAAGGTTGGCCAGTGTCTTGCAACATAATACACAAAGAGAGGCCAGTCTCTTGCCAAAGGACTTTCACTTCGACGATCTATAATATCGGGAATCCATGTTAGTAAACAGTCTATAACCGCATTGCATGGTAATGAGTGTAGGATGTATGCTAGAGTACCATGGAAGCATGTATAGGAATCTGGGTGTCGTTCCATTGCATCCAGCAGAGCAAAAGTCATATTTGAAATGAGGAGGTTTCGGCAGACTGTGTGCAGACGACAGAAGAGAGGATAACAACAAGCCAGGAAAGTGAGAACACAACAACCCTCTTCACGAACTGTGGTGTAATTGCTCTGCAAGGTGAGTAACAGAGCAGGTATCCATACATTCAATCGTGAGACAAGGAAATCCCCTATCGATGGCCAAAACATGATACCATGAAAACAGGCCAGAAGACCCATCCAAACACCATTATTGGAGTTTGTGTTCAGACAGGTGATGAGGTAACACAACCGCTCAACAAGGTCATAGGAGAGCTGTCGAACTCTTAACCCTTCGTCTTTTTCCTCTTTTTCTGTAAGGTTCAAGCCCAGCTTCAGCATTTCAAGCCTCCGTCGTCGCATATTACGTAGCTCGTAGAGTGGTGGCAGCATTGCTTCACAACTGCGATCATGACCAATTTCCACCCACTTGGTTTCAAATAGAGGCCGTACGTAATACGCAAACTCAGGAATATGATATGCTACCTCTTGTAGGATGTTTTGAGAGGGGTTACTAAGACCAATGTGGAAGGCCTTATCAAAATTAGCTTCGCTACCACACGCTGCAAGTCCAACCGAAGGACTTTGTTCTTCGATAGAAAGGCTTGACGGCTCTCTGTCACATTCTGGAAAGTAGTCCTCGTCGTTCGAAATCCGCTCTGGTTTCTTAATGCACTTAAGGGCAGCAACGCGAGAAACTGGACACGGTGGACCCCCAATCAGATATCCGGAAGTGAACATCTCTTTTGCTGCTGCACAAATTAGCTCTGAGTTTGACTTTGAAGGATAGAGAGCAGCTAGCATATCGTCTGAGGACTCAGTTGTTTCGATAATTTTGGCCACAAAGGCTTGCAGGTCTTCAGGTAGGATATTACGTCGACGGAGGACCATTTTGTAGAGCATAGGATTCTTCACAATTGTATTTTTGTAAAGTTCGCGCAATCGAATAGCATCACCAACTGCTAAGGGCATTTGTAGTTTGTAATTCTTCACCATGCAGTCGAGAAGTACTTCGGCTTTCGGCTGATCGGGCTCAACGGTGTGTTTGAGTATCGTATAGAGACCTTCTAGTCCTCCAGCAACAGTAATGAAGCGCCTGCCTAGACCGTATGCCTCTCGCTCCTGAACCTGGTCCTCTGAACCCATGGAGACCTTATCGAATTCGCAGTTCTCCATTGCATCCATTGCCTCGAACCAGCACATCGGGTTGGGAGCTCCTGCAGCCGCGATTAGCTAAAGGGCACTGGAGTATTCAGATCAAACTGATGCAATAGTAATTTTATAATGACTACATAATTTAAAAAACTTTCTCAGAACGTGACGTTTAATGAGAAGAAGTGGCGTCGTAATTATGATCAAATTTTTTCGCTACAAATCCAACTTCTAGCAACATGTGGGAAAGAAGTGAAGACACACAAGGAGCCTTTATGAGACTTTTGCAGCCTCTGCGACGCAATTGATGCGATGATATTTAAAAGCTTCGTTGTCATCCTCATCATGGATCACTGGTCCCAATACGCCAATACGTAGCAGTAAGCATTTATTCATAAGTGAGGTGAGAGAATCTTTATGAGGGCCGAGCTTTGATAGTTGCTTTTCCCACCATGTCCTTCCCAATTGTTGCGCAACAACTTCCACAGGGACCTTCTGTAAGATCAAACAGTTTGTAGGGAAGCAGGTTGGGCTTAGGCCTAATGGGTAAGTCTAAACACAAGGGCAAAAAAAGGTTATAGAAAGCACAATACATAAGGAACGACTGTTTTAATCAAAAAACACCCACATGAAATAGTTACGATTTATAAACTCCAACTTATAGTTATCAAATTACCACAAATTTATAGTCTGAGAAATAAGTTTGTGCATTGAGCAGGACGTTGGGTCAATAGCCTTATTAACGCATGTGCATTATTTCGTTACAAATTTTTACATTTCCGTTTTGTAAAGGTGGAGTAGCAGGTATCTGAAGCCGCGTTTGATCTCCTCCTTCAAGGTGTGGCCAGTGGTGGACTTTGACTTTACAAACTTCCAAAGACGCAAATTCAATAGAGTTGAATCACATGGTTCGGACACCCACCACTAGCGATCACGACGGAAATTATACAACTAGGCAATATTGAATGCAGTGACTGAGTGATTTCTTAAGCACTCGTATGGAATCAAGTTTGTAAGATCAGTCATCCACGTCCAAACATTGAAAATTGGGTACAAATACCTGAACTATCACATCTGTATATCGAGCATCACGAAGTTCTACCGTCACAATCTTCACGGACCAACAATCGCTACTTGTGCTTATTTCCTGACCCCCAAATGGGGCAACAAACGAGAACCATCCATATGAAAACGAACAGCTTTACCAATAAGGATGATTCCATTTGAAAAACCAGTCAGTGTGTGTGGTTAGTAGGCTTCGGCTCTTGTGTTAAACTAGCATTGTAAGGACGAAGAAACAGCAAATTCTCTGAGAGAATATGGTGTGGAGAACATTTCAAAGCGTCTACTTCCTGATTACGGAGATGAGTGCACAGAACTGACCCCAATTGTTTCGAGATTTCTTTTTTAAGAGGCGACCATAAGCTGTCGCGATCACAAATCTGTTTGAACAGACTTTGTACAAACTTGTAGCATTTATGTGATCTTTCCCTTCAGCTACTCTGAAGTCAGACCCAGCATGCCGAATGGTCGCTCAGATCATGCAACCAATCATTACCAGACTAATTCTTCCTGCGATAATTGAAAGTCGAAGACTTGTGAACTTAAAAACACAAGACCATCTGCGTTCAGGAAGAGGAACGTGAGTCTCGCATACACAGATTTCACCTAGATGCCAAGAAAATCCATGAAGGCTATTCATGCAACACCATACCCTCTGAATCAACAATTATAACAATTATAACATTTATAACTCCAAGTGTTGAACGACGTGGATGCCATTAAGAGAATGTCAGGAGGTCGAAAGCTCTACTTACCTCGCACCAATCCACAGCAACATTTTCAAAGCCGCATCTAAGATTATCCACTGGAAAGTCATTTAAAATTTCAATAGGATCACGCCCTCTTTTATCATTACGATTTCGTCGAGCAAATCGTGTCCGGTCTTGCCTCTTGTACTCAGCCTTTGATTGAATTGCATCTGTCCCCCTGCGATGTTTCTGAGATGTCGACGCTTTTACAGAGGCGGTGGCAGTATCAGCAGCTTTCTGCTTCTCTCCAGATACGCCACCTGGAAGCGAAGTACTGGTTACTGTAGTCGACGTAGGTTCCATTGATGTGAATGTCGTCTCTGTGGGTGTCATTGTGGACGTCTTCAAAGCACTCTCCGCCTCTGCTCCAACCGACAGTGGTGAAGTGGCTTGGAAACCTTCTAGGTCATCATCGCCTCCCTTTTTGAGTTTTCCATTCACTGATTCTTCTGAGAACCGTAAAATCATAAGGAAAACACGCTCACCTAAATTTTCATCTTGGATTGAGTCAATTTGTGATTGTGATGCATCCTTGTTAGCCTTCTGCCTTATCAAATATCGGTCGCGTGCTTTTGAAGGATGCAGACCTCCAGCTAGAATGATGGAATCGGTGAAGGGGTGAACAGCGTGCCCAAGTATAAAATCCACCTCATCAAACTCCATGTCCGTAGAAGAGTCCGAATCCTTAATTAGAAGGGCACCCAAATCCGACTTGGCGTCGTATTCGTTGGGTCCAAGAGACACCTGGTAGACATCAGGCGATCCTGAGATGTGACGAATGTCAAGGTCTTTGTTGAATATAGGTCGACCTTGATAGTCACGCAGAAGGTTGCTGTTGATAACAGACTTCTCCCAATTCCACAAACGCTCAGTCGCATCTTCAACAATTTTTCCACTTCCATGCCACTCTAAATGTTGGATTTCATCTACGTGGGATGGAGTCAATGGCATGACACTTTCTTTCGCTAAAGCATTCAAATAATTTAAACCAAGATTTTTGGTGTAAGCTTCACAGAGACGAATCAGAGCAGTTACATGCATTTGTTCAATATCATTCAATGTCTTATTACTGTCTGTCCTCTCTGTCATCTTAAAACCAACAGAGAAGAGTCGTTTTTCATTCCTAATTTTGGCCAGTGGATCAACAGGAAGATGTTTCACCGGAAGGATCCTCTTCAAAGGAACTCTTGCCTTCTCTTTGCTCACCGGCAGTTCCACGTACTCTGTTGTGGCATCGAATTTGATAAGGGGGGCGTGATCATTCTTGTTACTTTTTTCATCATCAAAAGTGGGCTCTTGGTTATCAGTGAAGGAATTAATGACTTCGTCATACGATTTTCTAGAATGGTTTAGGATAGCAACTTCTTGAGTAGGATAATCGTTGCTGGCATCTAGGGAGACGGTGGACTTATCTTGTGGTTCAATGCCAAATTTTGGGTCATATGAGTAAAACTCAGGATTTCCAACGTTTGAAATGTTTCTGTCTTCATTGTTTGATTCATTTGATGAAAAAGATGGCAGCGCACGACGGAAACTTGCTTTTGTGCTGCGAATAATTTGATCGACTATTTTTTCCGCCCTTTTTTGTCTCAAGGTTTCTTCTTGGCTCAAAATTTCCACATTTTGATGCAGCTCCTCCTTTAAATCAACTAGTATTGGAGTATTTAGCCGTTCTTTAGCCTTCTGTCTTAGCAAACGACATTGGAAACTGATGGAGTCGACTTGCGTGGAAGGAGGTGGTTGACGGCTGCCGCATAATTGGGGAAATAATTCTTCTTGCTTATTCCAGTCACCATTGGTAGGAATGGAACAACTCATACTTGCTGGTCGACTATGAGTGTGTAGTGATAGGAATCGCCTTACCTGCCTCTAGTGACGCGGTAAAATGCTGTTGGAAAGATTTCAACAGCCTCCAATTTTTTGCACATGGCACTATCCAAATCGATAGCATCACGTGTACTGTCTGAGTAGTCCCTTATTCAGCGTTGGTTTGCCCAGAGCAGTCTTGTTTATTTGGCCCCAAAGAAATGGTGGATGAACTGCTATGAGTGTGTCGATCAAAGACACAAGCTCATCCATCTCAAACCTGCACTGTAACTTGGTGGATAGCCAATTATAAATGACTATGCAGTAGGAAAGTTGGTAGCTCGAAGGAGTTGAATAAGGTACTTTAGTTAAACTTAATCCAAGAAACAAGTGAGTTCCATTTCGACCGTTACACCATAGATTACTGAAGACAAATAAGTGCAGAATAATATGAATTGTGTATTCGGAAAGGGAATTGAAAACACAACTAACGAAATCCGAAGGAAGAAAGCCAATAAAAAGCGACGTTGATGCTATAATTCGGGTAGATTCGTGACGACGAAGGACGTGAGTTCATCAATTTTCTGCTTTGAGATGCTTCTAAGAAATGCAAGGAAGAAGTAATGCAGAAGCAAGTTATGTAAGACTTACAAACAAGTCTCAATAGCAGTTGAGAGAGCTTTTTCAAGTTGTTCTTCGTAAAATTGAGTTATTTCCTCCTGGAACTTCTTTCTAGAACTGAAAAAAGGATAATTTCGCAAAAAACGATTAGTTAATGCAGATCAGGCTTATGCACAAAGGACATTTGAGCATACACATGAGGAAACATTTAATGCGCAGTAACGATTGTGAACGCGAACGAAGCCACCATGTATCAGATGTACGAATTCATGAGCATCAACAGGGCGCTCAATTCCAAGCCATCCAGTTGCTTTGCCGTTGGGAGGACAAACGTTTTACCATCGTGCAGACTGAGTTAAATTAGTTCCATACACTGATTGCCTTCCCCCATGCGAAATGCCAAGCATATAAACCACTGGCTGCAGGTTAAAACGATAACCCTATTTCTCTCCTTGTGACAGATGCGACAGCCATCAGTAGTACTACAACAGTGCTTTTAGGAGCCGTTTTATTAACATCTGAATTATATGCACAGAATTAAAATTCCCGATTTGACCCGAATACACCGCATACTTCACTGACGCATAATGCTAGATAAAATGCTTCAACTCACGTTTCAATCAATTCAGGCAACTTTTGAATTTCACATTGAAGTGAGGATATAGCTTCGATAAGATTTCGCATCGAGTGCTTTCCCACTTCCACCTTTAAGGGAGTTCAAAAAAAGCATTGAGTAAGAAAAAGTCGCAATCGGTATCATTTTGAAGTACACAATGGCAAAAAATATAATTTGATAGAAACTATGCTAGACTGCCTCTGCGCTGCATACAAACTTATCTTACGGAAAATAAGGACAGCCGCCGGCCTTAAGCTGAGCAACTTACCTCATTCAGGAAGCTAGGCGAACATAACCCATTTTCACCGCATTGTTTTTCATTTGATTCAAACTGATTTTGAATGCTTGAGGCGACATAAAACAACTTCTCCGAGACATCCGCGATATTTTCAAGGCTCTTTTTTACATGATCTAGCCATGATTTTATTAAAGAATCATCAACATAAAAACTAGTTGACCCATCTAATGGTAATAGGCATGATACTGTTACAGTTCCATACAACAGGACGGAAAAGCGTATTGTGCAGATAAAACTAACTTTTAGACGACTGTTCTCGACCACGAAGCAAAACCTACAGGATGAAAGCTTAAAGATCAACCTACGAATTCCTTTAATGAAGTAATCGAGGTCAGAACGTCCATCAATTTTCTCCTACATACAATGATGATATGATTATGCATACTAACTCCAAAGGGTCTGCAACTTTTGAGGAATCTAAAAACTGAGTCTGAAATATATGGTAATAACCAGTCTCATTCGTAGATGGGGTATTGGTTGTGTCATTTTTAAGGCTTTGGTTCCATACGTCTATTGCGTGGCTCCAAGTTTGAGAATTAGGGGACCTCCAGTCTCGAAAGCGGTGGGTTCGCTTTTCTAGGAACGATGTGCTGCTAGTATAACTTTTTTGTGATGACTGGTAAAAGGACTCCGACGAGGACATAACAACTTAAATGTGTTGTCGAAAACAGATACGCTATTCAAACCTGGCGGATCTCCTGTCGTCGATTTTAACATGCCCATCAAAAGCTCGCAAATAAATGAAAATCCACTTAACGTCTGTTCCCGAGTGGGTCTTTAAAGTTACCTGGCGTGTAAAATGATGCTAAAAGACTCGAGGTTTGTTTGTGATACTAAATAGGGATAGTCTAGAACTGTGAAAACAAACCAAGGTAGCTCCGAATCCCAAACGACAACATACTAAGTCAACCTCCCGAATTCAAGAAAGTGAATCCCCACAAAGTAACGGACTGACACCCCCCCTCGGTCAATAACACTGCAACACCACCAGAAGATCAACAAATGCACACCCCGCCCCCGTGATTCCAAACTTGGAGCCCCACCGCCGACCAGACAAACACACTTGGGGAGAGAAGCATCGGATTGGCGCGATGGTAAACACATGGGGGTACAAACAACATGATTGCAGACCACAGTCACAACTTATGCGTTAATAAAAGAAAAAGTCCCCTTTCCACTCGATTCATCAACAAATATCTTCGGATTCCTCGTTGACCGGAGTGGAAGGCAACGCTTGATCTCCAAAGGACTCGGGAGCCTTGATAGACCGAGCCAGACGCGCGAACTTGAACAAAAAACAGCAAGAAAATCACTTGCTCCGGCAGAACCAGAATCCAAATTTGGCTCAGAAAACAAATAAATTATTCAAAACGAACATTTTTAGTGAGAATCGAGTGCGAGATTGCTTATGACAAAGGACAAATGATCACCAATTGCCATTTAGCGGGATGCATCGCGTATTAAAACGTGAGCATGCGCACATTGTCGCTGCTACCATTTGCCAAAATACAATAGAATAGCGTCATCTTAACCTGTGCGCAACAGCGCCTTAGATACCGTTATTAGCTACGTTGCAAAAAAATAAGCCATCATACTGCCCATGACTTCGTGTGCATAAGAGTTCAGTTAATTGGCAATAACAGTTAAAGCGCCCCAAAGCAAGCCAATCTACCGACAATTTACAAGTCTGGAACTTAATGCAACAGTGTATAGCAAAAGATGTGGGATGAATTCAGGATACTGAGGCGGAAGATGCTCATAGCATTCCGTCATATACGACACCTATTCAACAAATACAGTAAGTTTGAAGATTCAGCCCCAAATCTGCCTACTTTAGGCCTTGTGAACTACTGCATGCATGGTCATGAAGTCTTTCAAACAGCATGTGGGCAAAAGCAATTACATTAAAACCAACATTGAGGTAAAGACTGTGAGCAATTGTGACCATTTTAGGGCTAGTAATCAAATGGATATATTTACATCGTCTTTTAGCTAAACATTGAAGTTTAGCGGCTTCTTTCATTTATGTCAACTTCGTGCATTGATGAGCTACCCAGTACATAAGGTTAATCCGTGACATTTGTAGGGTAGGTGACCAGAAATGAAAGCAATTGAACATGGGAATAAGAGCAACGAAAGTGAAACCTAATTATTTCGTTTCTCCATTCTAAGTACATAAGATGAAGTAGTAGCCGACGCTATGATATCTGATTCGTACGATGCACTGCCATAAGGCATGAAAAGGCGCTAGCAATTTTTCACAAAATATATTAAGAATAATGCCGTAGGACAATTTAGTGAGTCGAAAGCCAATGCATAAAAATGGCTAGTGATAAAGCAAATTATTTCAATGGTCCTTTAAAAACCTAGATGAACGTCTACATTTCACAGTCGGAAATTACTTCCATGAACACCATTCATGAAATTGAAAATCACCAAATCATCTAAAGTAAGCAATTGAAAACTTATATCAGGTGTTCATTAACAGTTAATGTGTAGTTAGTAATAGACAGTAGGGAACCCACATCAGTTTCCAGATTTCGAAAAGTCGGCAGAGAGATCGCTTCCGCCATTGCTGCGGAATCGTAAGGTTCGTAGGCCTGAAGAAGTTTCGCTACCGCCGCTGCATCATCTGTCTCGTTGAAGTGATACTGTCTGCGAAAATACGAAAAAGCAGGTAAAATAGTTAGAGGAGCCAGATGAGGGGAACTTACTCCACCGCTTCCCTATAAACATTCTCAGCGGCGCACGAGTCTTCAAGGACCAGTTTTACTACCACCAAACCAACAACCGCCTTTCCACAGACTTGGTAGGCAGTATGGACGTTCTCTCCGCTAGCACCGAGGGAACAAAGGCGCATCTGGTAACGCAGAAGGCGATCAGCTTCCTTAAAATGTCGTAAACGCGTCCATAGACGCGCCGACTGCCCAGCGAAGTCCGCTGCTTGTAAGTACTTCTCCTCCAACTGAGGAAGAAAAGGAGAGAATATAAATGCTTTATTGTCACCAGACATGGAACCACTTACAACATTAATTTACTTCGGATGTATCTGCCGCACACTCGTAGAATTGGGCTGATTTTTCAGGCATGTTTCCTTCCAGCCCTCTAGAATAGAGCAATGATAATGGATCAACTTAAAGAGATATCTTCCAATGATGCGTGTAAAACGCGCAAAAAGGAACAAACCGGCCAATTTTACCAAACAAACGGTTCAGTTATTATTGCATTTTGATGTCAAATATGGGGTAGTTTGGCTAAAATATCTCAGTCTCGAATAAAAACCTCATGGGAAATGCTTGAATCGTGAGACATTTTAAAGATGCTTCTGGTAAATGATACAGGGTGATTGTTTAAAGGCTCCTACGTATGCGAAATTCGTCTACCATAACAAAATTGGCATACAAAAGATATATAAGCATCGGAAGAGCTGTTTATTAAAGAAACATGAGGCGGCAAACCGTCTCATGTATAGAAAAATGGTGAAGTTCGCTTAACCATGGGCTAAGAGTCAATAAGAGAGCCTATTCAGTTCATCCCGGTAATAACATCACAACAAACCAAACGTGTCATAAAAAATCGCACACAACACACTTACTTTGCACTTTTGGCATAGAGGGTCGAAGCAGAATCTGGGATACCATTCTGCCTTAAAATTTTCCCAGCAGTTTCAATACATTCAACCACTTTATCGAAATTTCCAAGATCGCGAAACAGCAAAGATGCTGTTTCATATGCCTTCGCGCAGTGGAAGAATGACTTGTTTTTTGCATGAATGTCAGCGATCTATACTATTGTCCACATTCATTTAAATACCTGCATGTAAATACCGGCCGATTCTTGCAGCATCCCTGCGTTCCGATAAATTACCGCAGCCTTGCTATAATATCCCACAGCACTGTCAAAATCAGGCGACCACTTTAAGAGAGAAGTCTTCAGACTAAACGAACAAGAAAATTAGCCCACTAAACTATCTTACCATTTCTGGGCTGCTTTTACCAGCTCCTCAGCTTGACCTACCTTATCCGCCATTAAAAATTAAAACTAGTCCAGGCTTCATTGGCGCATCAAACTGATAGGCCAAACAATTCCGAAACCATAGCTGGTACAATGTAAAACACCATGCACGTATGCCCTTCAAAATGCTAATATTAGCTAATATTACCATAAAAATATGGGTTAATTAAATTTTCAACTGCAGCTCGCCGACATGTTCATCACCATCGAAATTTAAATGTTTGATGACATATAAATGCATTTTTCTGCAGATGTTGCACGCGCGTTTTGATTTGGCATCGACCCACCTAGTTGAAAAGACCTGTGTTTCCCCCCAAGATAATCAAAGGATGAGACTAGCCTCCAAACCGTGCCCCCCCTAACCATCCCTCAAAAGGACTATTGCACAACTCGTGACCACCACGACCCCACCGCTTCGCTGAGATACCGTATCATCGCACCTAACGTGATCAAGGCAGTAAACACCATCCGGCAGACCCCGACCGCTTCATCTTCAAACACGGTAAAACTAAAAAGATCCACGGGATACCCTCATGCACGAACTTCACACAAAAATTAAGCCGGAGAGAAGTTAGGAGGAGGTAAGGGAAGAAAAGCGGCCCGATCACGGAGAGAAATGACACCAAATATCGGTCTTCTTGTCAGCCTAATCCAAAGGTACCACCACGACACCCGCCTCGAGACTATCTTCTTCTTCCAACGTAAAAGATAGTTGGAATTTCAACTTGGCAGACGTCGCCTGAAGAATCAAGAGCGATCAAGAATTTTTACGATGACGAATTAAGGCAAATTGTGATTAAGTGTCCGAGCTCACTCCAAGGGTTAGTGGTTGTTGAACGTAAATTATCTGCTGCGCCGGGGTTGGTGGAAGGAAGGAGCAGAAGGCGGGCAAACTGGATGTGGCGAGGGGAAGCTGGCGAATCTTTAGAGGCTAAAAATAACAAGATTAAAAAAATCTAAGTCTGGTGTTTTACTACCCGTAGCAAAGAGACGCGATGACAAAGAAAACCAAACTGTAAAGGAAACCTTTCAACACTAAACACGCGCCAAACCAAAACCAAAGAGACAGAAAAAGCATGATTTAAAAGTGAATTTCGTGGGAATCAACGATAACCCATCCCTTGGTATTTACAAACTCCAAGGGCATTAATGACAAACCTTTAAAATGTATAGCGAACACAACTTCTGCACAATAAGGCATAGAACGGCAAACCTTTTCAACTCCAAACCGAAGGAGAAGATTTGTGAGCGGTAAAGGACTGCGGTTTGTAACCACTACTACGAACACCGATACAGAGGGATGAGGCTTATTGGCAGTACAGTGAAGCACGACTTCCACCGTCTCGTGCTGCCGTTTCAAGGCTCCCTCTTCCACTTTGTCATCGTTATTGAGCGGAAAAACTTGGATGGGTTGAGTGTGCTGAAAATGTGGGCGAATGGCAGAGAAGGTTAGTGATGGAAGGGAAGAGAGTGATGGAAGATCTGTAATCTTTGTCTCCATAGTCAATGGCTGAAGCTCCTTAGAAGACCTCGATGCCTTGACCGTCACTGAATCAACGGCTGGCTGGCTGAAGGTTGAAAAAGCGGAAATCAGTGTTTTTCAGCCTGTAACATTCGATATCAAAATAATGGCCCAAAAAAACTTGGCAACAAGTTTCCTTTATATTAACCAATGGTTTACGAGAATATTTTTTCAAAAAGAGTGCCCTTTCTTCCCGAAGTTAAACTTTTAACCTGCATAATTATGCTTCATCGTGACGAAGGAATACAACTTCCTACGCGAACCCCTACGCGGAACCAATACAAGGGAGCGGACAACACTTCAGATCAGACCAAATTTCATGAAGGTGTGGTTTACTTCACTTCGTAACATAAAATTGCTACCTCTAAAAAGTTGTTCAAGAGAAAAGTAATCCAAATTGGACGGGTGTCAATTTCCAAGTTGGTCAAGATGGAAGACAGCATTGATGATGTGAGCATTATTGGAGGGGTTTGAGAACAATACGGCTATGGCGACGACCCTCGGAACGGACAATACTTCGAGCTTTGAGGATGATCATGAGCCTGACTATTGGCAAAAAATTCAATCGCCAAATATGGAGGATTTCAGATTCCACGCCATTTACAAAATTGTTAAATTCAATGGGTAAGTACACAGTAAGTAAAGCATGTAGATACTTTATGCTACCTACAAAATGGCTGCAATGTTTGATGCATTTACGATTCAAAAAAAACATGGACCCCAAAGAAATTTTGACGAAGATTGCAGACTGGATAGACGAATGGATGTAACGCGATATAAGTGAGAAAGAGGCACAGGGATACGCATGTGGATCAGCAAACGTACACAGCGACTATACCCAGCATCTGTCGTCCCACACTATCCAACTCGCTGAATGCGGTGGCTACTGAGGCTGTCGGCATGGACTTCGAAGAGGTCGTAGTAATGTTAGGAAGCAACTTTGGAAGTACTGGGTCGGTAGAATGCATTGTAGTTGATGGCAGTTGTGACTTTGGTAGTGGCGATGATGCCGTTGTATCTGACATGCTGAATGGACTGGGTTTTAGAGGGTCTGCTGACGATTAAGAAAAGTTGTAAGATAGGATGAGCAACTTCCATGGGTGTACTCATGTATTTTGGTAAAAAATATTGGGCATGTTCAATTAAAGTAAAGAGACACATCACCGAGTGGGATTCAATAGACAAGGGATATGCAATGATACGATGTGGGTGAATACTCCAGGTAGAAAATTTCTTTAAGAAATCGATTGACCGATGTAATTGTGAGAACTAAACAAATGGCAAGACTACCATGATAAAATCTTACACTATCACTTGCAATGCACATTGTTTAGGCTTAAAATTTGCTTGAGTGGCAAGAAGCAAGGGTTCAATTCGAACGTAGCCCCGGAAAAAAGTACGGACGACTTGCAAGGATTTCGCTGATGCACCTGTCTTCCTTTCTTACTTTACCCACCTGAGCCTAGGGTAGCTACTCCAGCATAACCGACCTAAATTTCAGAGTAATGGAAAAAATTGCTTGATAAAATGAAAGCTCAGATGCGTCTACACTCTCACAACAGTCCTCTGAATGGTAATAATGAACATTCATTCTAGCGTGGTTTTCACGACGTTATCCACTTAGAATCAGTGGGTCTGCAAAGACTTGCTACAGAATGATAAGTGGCAAGATCAGGCCTCCACGATAGAGCTACTACGGTTTCCTAAACGAAGCGATTTACATAATAAACTACTTGTCATAGAACAGTCTCCACGCAGCTAAATGGCTTCTAAACCGAGGAGGAGGAGGAGGAGGAGGAGTGCATGGTATGTAGAATTTTCGACAAAATCCACATGTACTGCGAACGGCAAATAGCTTTCCCTACGCAATGGTAATGGACGATATCTCCAATCATATCTTGAGGTCGTAATAATGTCTAAATGAAATCCACGTGGACGATGAAAAAGAGCGCACTACATGGTGATTCAGTGTTTTGATTTAACCATCCAAGCTTTCAAATGCACAGTTTAAACACCCACTCAGAGAGATGACGCGATCAAAGATTCATCCGCACTGGCTACCTATTAGGATGTGAGCGAAGGCAGGGGATGAAGAAACAAAATAATAGAAAATTAGTCGAGGAATCAACGATTTGTGTGATCACCAAGTCTGTCAGAAAAGCGCGAACCTATTTACTATGAAATTTTAAAGCAAAAATTTGGTTATGCAAGGACACCATGAATAACACAATTTTAATATATGATGACTTAAAATGCATTTGCTCTTAGAAACCTTATAGGCAAGTGCTAAAAAAGGCCTTTATTTGCATTTAGATTCCTTATTGTCAGATAAATTAATAAGAACTGATGAAGAAGTAATCACTGCGATGACCTACTGCGGGGATTTCCATCAATTTATAAAAATAGCACACATTGCTGCTTCCATTCCGGATCCTCAAAGTACTGAATGTTGGTTGGAGCTAAAAGGATTAACTCTAGGCTATCCACTCTACAAGGCAAGCTTGGTCTGGTTGTCAAGCTGCAAAAAATACCATGGATTCGTGTGCGGCAGTTGATGGTACAACATTTGAGCATTCTACGCACAAAGAGGCCTATCTTCAAAAGTAAAAAGTCCGTAAGAGTAGCGAATAGGATGCATAAATATTAAATCACAGATAAAAACTTTCAGCAGTGACGATGGAACATTTCTTCCCGCAATTTGCGTAAACATCATGCCGTCCCGTCTACCAACTACCCGACCCATAATGTGCGGTCCTTTGCATCCAAAATTCAGGCAAAAGGCTGCAAACGGTCACGTCTAAACAGCTCAGTTAACCACTATATTACACACAGAGTTCACTATCTCACCAAAAGAATATCGATGCTTTTGCACACGGTGGAATGGTGGCGAAACTGTAAAAGATCAAACGATTGTGGGTTCATTATGGACGCAATCCAAAGGCGTGAAGAGAAAAGCTATTTCAAAAACACGCAAAATTATTGAACCCTTTCAATTTCATACAAGGCGTACATTGAAGTGGAAGAGAGACGATCATTTTCTTCATCAGTATCTCCTCCAAGGATCTCTTAAAAACCCAATTTAAGCTAACTCAACAATCAATTCAAATTTTTGCTCAAAAACCGAAAATAATCCCTTTTAAAAGGAAATATCTCCAAGATTAAGACGCTTTGTGCGAAGTAACTACACAATAAATGCTACCACTTCTTCGAGCGAGAGAATACGTTAATTAATAATCACAAACCCGTAATTTTGGGTGCATCACAAAGAAGATCGGCAAGAAGGCTCATATCCGATGAAGACTGGGCCTGTGGTGTCGGCAAATGAGACGGGGTATGGTGAATCCCAAGCTTCAAAAGGTCTTCACTCAACAAATCTTGATGAGTGTCAGTGGAAAGCAACAGTAAATTTTCGGACATCGGAGAGGAGCTTTCAGGCGCTGCTGAAGAGTGTGGTAAGGACTTGCTTTGAGCAACCGGATCATCCACGGTGGAGGGAGGTTTGTGCAAAACCACGACTTCGTAGCGCTCCAGCACGCTAGAGGCTCGACTGCAGGTCTCAATAACGTCAGCTGAAAGAAATTTTAAAAATATATATCAGAAGGGGACCAGGTACTACCAAGTCATAAAGTTGATTTCCTTACTACGCAGCAGATCTACTTTCCATATGCTTTACCGTTCTGATCAAAAAGTGTGTGAACACTGGCAAAAAGAGCAACAAAATGATAGTTATGGAGACCAATAATTGGACAACTGAATAGTCACGTTTGGACCAACGGAAATTGATCAAAATAACTGACCGAAAGACACAATCAACATATAACTTCAAACAAGTTAATTATTTTATCTCGCCACAGAAATGGAAGCCTTTGAGTGTTCTTTGAAATGCGTCGATTAATGGAACCAATTTGAGGTTGAACAAATGCTACTGTTAACCCTACCTACTGTTTTCGGAACAATTGCTTAAGAGGTTTGGTTGCAGTACCAATCAGGACAGAAAACGGTGAATTTGGGGCAATTAAGCAGAATTTGAACTCTTCATTACACCAATGTTCCTCGGCGTGCAGGAACGAACTTTCAGACAAGTCGGGAAATTTTAAGAAAATGTTAAAACTGCAAGTAAAACCTAAAAATCTTTCCATAAACGCTATGCAATCCTGAGAAATTTTGAGCAAAGCTTCAAACATCGTCTGAATTAGTCCGGCTGTTTGGATTATGATTGTGCAAAACTCACTCAAGAATCCTTCCTCCCTGTCGTCGTCGCTTAAAGCCAGCTCAAAGATGACCGGACGCGCCTGTTTGATATTGAGAGCGATTTCCTTCAAAACAGAACACCCAACGCACCTAACTTAACAAGAGCCGTAAAATATGTGTTTCCTACTCTTTCTGACAGGTTTACATTATCTTACTTGAAGTATTGAGACTCCAGAAAACTAATTTCATTAAACACAGTGGACTGAACAATATGAGTATCGAAGTCAATAATGAATACTACTACTCCCTTCCCATGATTTGGACGACACAAAAGAATAAGCAATGAATTCCACTATCGAGGGAGTTTGGCTAATAATTACATGGAGTACTCGCAGGGAGACATTCTGTTAGAAAATTGTTAAAAATGGAGAAATGGTCAGTTTAGATGGACATGTATGAAGGCACTTTATCACAAACCTGGGTAATATTAGACGCTACTCTCCAAAGCTCATACAGTAGAACATAACAATAATTGATCAACAGTTCAAGAGCATCACAAATATCCGTTGTTTTTCTATCCCACTGCACAACAAAATGCGTATACGGATAGTTCATTGCCCTTGCCTGTGCAGGCTGCAGGCTGTGCTACTTAACACTTAATGACCCTTTCTTTCTCAAACGTGCTAATTATTTTCTGCTCAAAAAGAGTTGAGAAAAGGTGAAAAATTGCCTCCATGACATCAAGATCAGAAGCAGAAGATCCTCCATTGAATCCAAAGCACCGAAGCATCTCCTCTAGCAGGTTGGCGTTGTTGCGAAGGGTCTCCAACTGTAGCGCACGTCTAGATCGCTTAGCGGTTCGAGCGTCGTCCTGAAGGGAAAAAGAATACAATGTTTGATCAGAAGAAGAGTTACTTTTAGTCCTACTCTTGACAAAAAGCGTATGATCCTCATAACCAGCGAAGAGAAGAGGGGAGAGAAGAGGCTAGTAGGAATTACTATTTTACATTGAACCGCTCCGAAATGGGACGACGTCAATTCGCCCACAGACGGCAATAACCACTTATCGGATTCGCATCTCTCATTACAACCCACTTTGTCATTCTTTTATAACTTTGATCGAAAAAAATCCGTTGATCAGGATAAATGAACATCAAACGGAGAAGTTTAGGTTACCGACCTCCACCGCTGCATTGAAGATGTGCATCCTCAAAATTGCTCACGTAATATAGAAGTAAAAAGGACGGAAAATGAAGCTATTCTACCAGCGAACACCACACTTAGTAGGAGAAATTTCGAGCAAAGCTATTTAAAGCATTGTGAATTAAATCGCTCCAACCTGCAAAATTATAATTAATGAGCCTATCGCTGCGGTAAGATCAAGAATCAAACTTATTCCGAGTTCAAGTAAGATCTACCTATGACTCCACTATGAATGCCTCGAAAATCACTGATATATTGGTATCGTGCATAGCAATGAATCAATGGAATGAGAGAATGCAAACCGAAAGTCTGTAATAATGGATAGAAAACTGCCCGCTCATTACCAACAGCTCCAAGCGATCGAAAGCAGGACGACCTTTCAAAACCAAATGAAGGGTAAAATTTGCAAATGTGAGATGCTACAGATCATAATTATTGACTTCACATTTTGACTTCTGTGAAGCGTAGTTTTCTGCGCTTCCCTTAGAAAAAGTAAGCCCGAAACCGAAGAAACGCTGAAAATAGTGAACACATCTGAACTACAGGAAAGCTGAAAACGCCTGAAAGGATTTCTAAAGAAAATGTTAGAGAACCACCCCTGATCCAACAAAGGTAAATGATTTGAACCATCATATATAGCAGGACGGTTAACTCACCTCGTTAACGATACTCTTGATTATAGCATTAGCCTCACGAAGATCCTCTGGGTTCTTGCTCTTAAGCAACCGATCCAGCTTCTATACAGACGGAGTTCACTTTATTTTCGAAATTCTTACGTCTTTGTAGCGGCTGGTCTTAAATATATCAGCCCTATTAGCTATTCGATGGTTATATTTCTATTATTCAAAGGTGTCAAATAAGGGATGATCGAATATAAAACTACTTGATCACATTCAGCCTCGTTTGGAACAACGGGATCCTTGGTGACAATATTTTGTGCTTTTAGTGCCTGATAGGCTTCGCGTAGTTTCGGATAAGCGTCTCCCAAGTCCCGTTGCCATGCGAACATCAGCATTATGCACTTATCACGCACCACGGGAGGAGTAGAGTCACCAAGGTGCTGAAAGCGATGGAACTTTGTAGTAAATACTCACTTACCTTTGGCAACAAAACCTTCATTAACTCATTAAGAAACTTGAACTTTCCAAGTTCCTTGTGAAAATTTGGACCACAATTTTGAACACAAAGATCAAGAATCTGGAGGAAAAGCAAAAACACACTATAGATGCAAAATCGGCGAAGCATTTAGATAAATGAATATTTCTGCTAACCACAAGAGCACTCAAGGCCTCCTTTTCTTGCGGCGACTGGATCTTGTAAGCCAGAAGTCTTAAAGCAACTTCTGGACCACGGGGATCGGCGTTTATTTTGTCGTAAATCTTCTTAAACGCATTAAGATCAATGTGTGTTGTCAGAGGACTCGTAACCTCAGCTTTAAAAGTGTAAAACAGCACTGAATAGACTTTAAAAGCCCAATAAACACGTCGCTAGCAGTTCAATCACACAAACGGTGTTTCAGACCAATTCAGACAGGAAATTAGGTGTCCCTCTTTTCTCAAAGACTACAAATTACCTGTACAAAGTGGGGATAACCAGTGCGTTTACTTTATAATGCATCCAAGGTCAACCGAAAACAAAGGCTGTCTCACTTAGCATATTTTCCAAGGACTCTGTGCTGCTCAGCATTCTCCGGTAGATTGCCACCCTACGCCAACCACGAAGTGTAGCCTTTGAAGCCGTATATGAAGATAAAGTGCGCTCGAAATACCAGCTGGTTAAAATAATTTCAATCTAACTACACAAAAGTCATAATTATAAACAGTACAGTCGCGTTTAAAGAGTTGCAAAAAATGTTAGGGCATTTTTACAATATGCATGGCGAACGTTTTCGACGTTTGTTCATTGGAAAAATTAATGCATATATTTTGATAGAAAATATTCGCATATTAATTCCAAGATTACAATTTTCTTTTTGTACAGATAAGCATTTTTTCACCTTGAAATTCTAAGCTTGTAGTGTTTTGAGCCTTCCCAAAGAAAAGAAGAATCTGTGGACAAAGCAACTATGCCTGAGCATGGCCCGAAGGCCAGCTCACACGTGCAAGACCAGACAAATCTTTAAGTATCCGCCTGGCACTAAGCGGTCAAATAAACAAAGTATTGCACTGCCCCAATCTTCTCTTTAGCGGCGTCCTCGGTGCTCCCCCTTGTTACACCTCCCGCACCAGCCATCACAACACCCGTACTGCAAGAAAGCACTCATGAGTCAGCCGCGCCAATCAACAGCGACCATGAGACTGGGGAACGACATTTGGTCTTCCCAGCAGCTTCAGATGGACATGGAGTTGCATTCAGCCCAACAGCCAGAACCGAGGCCGCATACATCTGCTGACTATCGATCGCTTCCAGGATTAGACGAAAAAACTAGATAAGCCACTTTCTCGCATATGAGGAGAACCGTAGTGTCATTTCCCACACCTATACACAGATTTTGCATGGGAAATTCCGACACGAAACTCCTCCAGATGGTTTGCGGTAGTGTCGCTTCACTTGTTGGTAGCTTGGTTGTG